GACATGTACATGGAACCATATAACCACCACCACAATCAAAATCTAGAACATTTATCCTTAAAACTTCTCTCTTATACTCTTTGTAACACCAAATCCTGGCAATCACTGATCCGTTTTCTGACCCTATACATTTTTGCTTTACAGAATAGGATAAGTGGAATCACTTCTGAGACTAGCTTCTTTCGCTTGGCACAAAGATTGGCAAACTTTTCAATAAAGAGCTGGGTGGTAAATGTTTTTTTTTTTTTTTAATTGCACTTTTTTTAAAAATTAAATTATTATCTGTGTACATATTTTAACATTGAGAGCCCCCCCCCCCCCCATACATACTCTCCCTCCCCAGAGTTTTGTGAACATTGGTTGTACTTATATGCATGTAGGTGGTAAATGTTTTAGGCTAGCAGGCCATATCTCTGTTGATACTCATTCTGCTATTGCAATCATGGATGATACACGAATGATTGAATGTATTTATTCAAACAGGTGGTAGTTGCCCTGGCCAGTGTCTCAGTTGCTTGAGCATCATTCTATGAATCAAAAGGTTGCAAGTTTGATTCCCAGTCAGGGCACAGACCCAGGTTGTAGATTAGGCTCCTGATCAGGGTGTGTATGGGAGGCAATGGATTGATGTTTCATACACTGATGTTTCTCTCTTTTCCCTTCTCCCTTCTTTTTTCTCTAAAATCAGTAAAAACACATTAAAAAACAAACAAACCCAAAACAAAAAATACAGGTGGCAGCCAGATTTGGGTAGAAAACCACAACTTGCTGACATAACTTAGTATAATGAATATGAGATTTATTCATATCGCATATCAGTAGTTTGTTCTTTAAATTGTCAGTTATTACTTCATTGCATAGGTATATGACAGTTTGTTTAGTCAGTTGAGGGATGTTTGAGATTTTCTTGATTTTTGGCAATTATAAATAAAGCCACTTTAAACACATTCCTACAGGTTTTTGTATTAATATAGGTTTTCATTTCTTTTGGCTCATTACCTAGGAGAATTGCTAGGCTGTATGGTACATGTATGTTTCCTTTTATACAAAACTCCCAAATTGTTTTTCAAAATGTCTGTATCACTTTGTGTTTCTTCCAGCAAAGTAAGAGGGTTCCAACTGTGTTGTATCCTCACCGGCACTGGTATTGTCTACTCTAAAAGACTGTGAAGAATCTTGGAAACTAGAGTAAAGATATTTACCTTTAACTTAAATTAAGTTGGAAGCTCTTGAAAGGTTTTACACTTGGAAACAACCTAAAAATTATCACCTCAGGGTAGAGAATGGTTTTGAAGGAGACATGGCAAATGTGTGAAGATCTGTAGGAGGATATCATATTTGTATAGGAGGAAGGGAAGACATCTTGACTGGAAAGATGGCAGTGAAAATTAAGTGATTAGATGTGAGAATTTTTTAGGAGGTGAAATTGGTAGAACTCAGTGATTCATCAGATATGGGACTTGAGAGAGTGGTACATGCAACTACATGTATAATGTTACCTTCACTGAGATGAGGAACATTGACAGGGAAAAGAAGTATGGGGAGATAAAGTCATCAGTTCAACTTTTAAATTTATGTGAGATGTCTGAATGGAGGTACCAAGTAGGTAGTTTGATATCTGGCCTGGAATAGGGGAACAAAATTGGAAGTCTGTGGTATAAAAGATATCTGATAATATGGAGTTGAAGACATTTTCTAGAGAGAGTTTTTAGTGATCTGAGAATAGTGATGGGGTAGTGGGGTAGATCCAAGAAGAACCTCAGTGTTTAATGTTAGGTTAAGGGATATCCTAAGGAAAGTAAGAGAGAGCTGTTGAGAGAGAGAGAGAGAGAGAGAGAGAGAGAGAGAAGAGAGAAGAGAGAATATGAATGAATGAATTTGTATAAGATTGTATCCCAGATGCCAAGGTGAGTGAAGAGTTATGTGTGTGCTGAGATGACAAGTAAATTAGGGATGGAATGTGCTCATACAATTGACTAGTAGAACTATAGTGGACATTAGCCAGTTTTGCTGGTAATGGCGGTGGTGCTACCATGTTTCCCCGAAAATAAGACATCCTTTGAAAATAAGACCTAGCACATGGAAAAATAAGACATCCCCTGAAAATAAGATCTAGCACATCTTTGGGAGCAAAAATTAATATAAGACATTGTCTTATTTTGGGGGAAACAGGGTAGTATATATATGTAAAAATCTATACTAGAATGAATTGAGTGGGTAGGATGCGAGGTAGTAGAAAAAGCAAAGGCATACAGGACTTTTAAGAACTTTCAGGCTGATTATTAGAAATGTGTGTTAAGAGATGTTTTTGATTGTTAAGATGAGACAATTAGAGCATGCTGGTGAGAAGGATGAGCAGGGGATGACAACAGAAGAATCAGCATAGTCAATGGAATGACAAACCCACAAGGCATGAAAGATACCCATCAATCAGATCTAGTAATCTTGTGGAAGAAGTTCAGATGAATTTAATATTCATAGTTGCGACCTGTGAACAGAGAAAAATATGGGTCTTTTAGCATTACCAAAATCTAATGACATATATGAAGATATATTGCATTAGAACTTGATTTTGTTTTTAAGTATTTCTGAAATTTATTTTTCAAGTATTTCTAGAAAACTTACCAAACAGAAAATGTCAGGAAAATTCTTTTGCTGTATGAAGTCACTTATCAATCTCATGGCCCATTTGAAATCCTCAAATGAAAGACTTCCTCATCTGAATGGCCATTGCTCAGTGCTGTGTGTGTGTGTGTGTGTGTGTGTGTGTGTGTGTGTAAATACTTTTTCCTCATTAAATGATGGAAGGTATAGACCATAACTGAAAGTGATTTTAGTCTCCATAGTACCTAGCAGTTACATTAATTTAGTTTGTTACCTTAAATGTATGTAAATGTGAACACAGGGAAATGGTTTTTAGCAGATAATTAGGATAAGTTATATGAAGGAGAATATGATTTTGTGGCTTGGCATAGAATTAATAGCATGTAGAATTATGGAACCTGATTATAAGCTTTTGTTTTTGTGATACTTAGTAAAATATGTTTTGAAAGTTCTCTTTTGTATACTACTAAGGAATGAACAACAACAACTCTTTGGTGGTGATACTTTATAGTTGATCAATTACTTTCATGTTACTGTACCATTCAGACGGAGGTTAACTCAGAGAGGAAGAGAGCGAGAGAGAGAGAGATCATAGGATATTACCCCATTCTACAGGTGAAGAAACCAAGCTCCAGAGAGTTAATGGGTCAAAAGTCACATTACTAGTAAACAAGACCTAAACGGGGACCTGCTGACCCAACTCTAGATTCTTTCAGTGTACTCGATGGCTTTTCTAGAAATCCAAGGAGGGATTCGGTTTACTTTAAGTGAATAAAAATCACTTAGAACACTAGACCAGGAAGGAATTGTCTTTGGTCAGTTCTAAATGAACATCTTGCTGGTTCATTCCTAAAACAGACTGAACATCGGTTACACGTAAAGACAAAAGGCTTGACCTCAGGATAAGTCGAAGGTTAAATAAATCATTCTGTGAAGCAAAAAAAAAAAAAAAAAAAAAAAAATCATTTAGAACAATCTCTTGGTCAGCCATATTCACCTTTTCTTGATCAAGCTGTGGTCTGTGGTTCAGAGATCATACGGGGCCCCTGCAGCAGAATTGGGAAAAACACTGCATTATGGCTGGCCCAGATGCTGTGATTTAAAGAAAAGAATACAGAAGTGATATCTGTGGATAATGATTTCTCAGAGCCATGTTAGCCAGCACTGTTCATTATAGTGAATGAACCTCATGTTAGCATTGCGGGGGGGGGGGGGGGGGGGGGGGAGAAACAGATAATTATCTGTTTTCCTAGGCTTTTGATTCTGACTTCACACACACACACACACACACACACATATATTAAAGACCAGCCATCATTTTGGACTTAGGAGAATAAGTTACTTTTTTTTTTTTTTTTTTTTTTTTTTTTTTAAATCTGTAACACATTGTTTAATGGCAGGGAAATTATGTTCAAAGATCAGAGAGGCGAGTAGGATATTGGTTTCATTTATATTTCAGTGCCAATGAGTTGGCATTTTTTTATTTTTATTTTTTATTGATTATGGTAACACATAATTGTCCTCATCCCCCCATTCCCACCCCAAACCCTTCCCCACAGATGTGTACCTCCCTCCCCCTGTTGTCCGTGACCACTGGTTAGGCTTATATGCGTGCATACAAGTCCTTTGGTTGATCTCTCCCCCTTTTCCCCAGATAAGTTACATTCTAATGAGAGAAGGTCATTATTCTTTAGGGGGACTATGGCTAGATTTAATTATATTATTGTTAGAGCTTTCAAAAATCAAAACAGTGTATATTAATGTATAAAATTTGTAATTTTATAGTAAAACATTTAATGGGCAAAGCTCTGACTACAATCTTTGAAAAAATATCATTCCCATTGGCCTTAGCAGATTATTTAAACTTGTGTTAAACAGATTCTTTTTAAACTTATAGACCCTCAAACTCTAGAATATATTTTTATCAGGGGGATTAAGGAATGAAGAGCACATACTTTTAAGAAATTATAGAAAGTCATAAAGCGCTTTCGAAAACCTTCTCCTTTCAAAACTTTTAAATGTTATTTGAGTGAATTGCTGCTACTGGATAAAAACATATCCTTATGTTCTCTATATACTGTCTTAGACAAGGTATTTGGGAATTGCTGTATGGAGTGGGGAATAATTAACTTTGTCTGTATGTGAAACCAAGGTGGAATCTGAAACTAAATGTTGCATGGCTCAGTGGTTGTGATTCATGGGGGGGGAAAAAACACACCTAGATTTTAAGGACTTTTCCTTCCCAAGACAGTTGGTCGTATAACTCCATGTGGACTGTAGACTGTGGTCTACCTCTGGTATTCCTTATCTCCTTGCAAATCTCTTTTAGTGTGTGGTAAAATTTATTAAGTAAGCATTCCAGATGAACAACTGAATATGGTTTCCTTTTACTTCAGATGAGCCTGGCCTATGTTCAAGCAGCCGAGTGCGTCTCAGAACCTGTGAACAAGGATCCTCCTTCCCGAGAAGCTCAGATTCTGACTTTGAAAAACACATCTGAATTCGATGTCCTTGTCATTGGAGGAGGAGCGACAGGGTGTGGCTGTGCACTGGATGCTGTCACCAGAGGTGAGTCCTGGTGTGGATGGATGGGACACAGATAAAGTTTCCACCTTTCTTCCCCAGTGCAAACACACAGTCGGCCTCTGCTGGTAGCCACATTCCTGTTGCATTTACTAATTTTCCATCCTTTGTGAAGCACCTTCATATATATTTTTTTTTTATGTAGGCACTTGCACAGTTTTAAGATTAAATAGAACTTATTTACACCAAAATGAATTTAAAAAGGAAAGTTTGTATTCCTGTGATTTTTATGATCTAATGTTCTTATAAAAATTTTTATAGTAAAATAAATATACTTCTATGAAATATAATAAGAAATATTTGTATATGATCTGAAATCACATGTCAGTAAAGAGTAGAAGAGATTTATTAAAGTGAATTATTCTATTAAAATAATTCTTTTGTTCCTATAGCTCTTAAAATAACTTCTTCTAGTGAAATATGGACTGCAGTTTGGGAAACTCCAGTGGATGAGAATAAACTGTTGCTAACCTATTCTCACTCAGTCACTCTATTAGTCAACATTAGGAAAGACATGATAGTTCATTAAAAATGGAAACATGTCCCTAGCCGGTTTGACTAAGTGGATAGAGCATCGGCCTGCAGACTGAAGGGTCCCAGGTTTGATTCTGGCCAAGGGCATGTGCCTAAGTTGCAGGCTTGATTCCTAGTAGGGGACATGCAGAAGGCAACCAATCAATGATTCTCTCTCATCATTGATGTTTCTATCTCTCCCTCTCTGAAATCAATTAAAAGAAAAAATGGAAAGAAAAATATTTTGGTATGGAACACCAATGCTGTTACTTAAGATATATGGTTATTTATGCGGAGACACACACACACACACACACACACACACACACAACACCAAATTAGTTAATTTCTCTCATTCCTCATCTTTCAAGGAAGAAAAAATATCTTCTGTTGATGATGTTGAGAGGATTAAATGTGTAGTCATGAAAATGACTTTAAAACAGTGCTGGTCACACAGAGTAAAAACTCAGTATATTAGAAATAGAATTATAGCTGACATTATTAACATGAAGGCAAAACACTTTTAGAACCAATTGTTCTGCTGAAATAATGTTTTTTGGTGTCCTTAGAAGTATTGAATTGGGTGCAAATTACCGCTACAAGGAATTTTCACTCTGGATATTTTAGGTACTATCTAAGGTTCACTATTTATTTGCAGTTTCATGCTTAATGATAACAATACTATCTAATAAAAAGGGAATATGCAAATTGACCATCACACTATCACAAAGATGTCCCCTCAGCCTTCGAGGACTGGGGGGCAGGGAGTGTGGCAGGTGCACAGTATGGCTGGACCTGCCCTCAGCCACTCAGGGCCGGCCCGAGGCCCAGGCAAACCTCTGATGTCAGCTGCCCAGCCACCCAAGGCAGGCCCGAGATGCAGGCCAGCCTCAGATGGTGGCTGCCTATTCACCCGAGGCTCAGGTAACCAGGGTTGGCCAATGCTTGCACTGCTGGCAGTGGCAGCAGCAAAGGTGTGATGGGGGCCTTGCCTTCACCTGATCACTGGGTCACCTCCCGCCCCTGAGGGCTCCTGGACTGTGAAAGGGGGAGGCTGGGCTGAAACACCCCCCACTCCAGTGCATGAATTTTCATGCACCAGGCCTCTAGTTTATTACAAGAAAGGATTTTCTCAGGTTAAGTTATTCCACAGCCATCCTAGATTTTGTTACCTTACATACTTGGTAGAATTTATTCTTATAGAAATGAATTTAATTTAAGATTTAGGGTCCATTTTGTGTGGCTCAGTGGTTGAGCATTGACCTATGAACCAGGAGATCATGGTTTGATTCCCTCAGGACACATGCCTGGGTTGCAGGCTCGATCCCCAGTTGGGGGTGTGCAGGATGCAGATGATAGGTGATTCTCTTTCATTATTGATGTTTCTATCTCTCTCTCTTTCTCCCTTCCTCTCTGAAATCAATAAAAAGTATATTAAAAAAGAAAATATTTAGGTACACAAATAAGCAAAACAATGCCCTAGATTTACTGTGCTTGCACAGGATACACACTTAAATTTTAATTTTTATAGATTTGCTAGCTAGTTTCTTTCTGTCACTTCTGGCAAATACAAAATAATGGCAAATACAAAAGATAGGCCCTGGAATCTATTCTGTTGCCACAAACCCCCATTTTCATATCATTTCCTGTCTCTGTGGTTTGTAATTTGAGCCAGATTATCCTTGGGCATGCTAAAGCAGACAGAAAGAGTATTTATAGTTGTCTCAAGGTGTTTGAACTCAACTCTTTCCCCTGGAGGCCTGGGAAAGAGAGGACACATTCCAGAAATAATGAGAGACCTTGTCTGGGACTACCTGTCCTGGGACCATCCCAGGAGTTGGAATTTACCAGGTGACAGTTTTTTATGTCAGAGGGGATCATTTCTCCAGTAGGGTTCAGAAAAAAGATGTTCAGTACATGCTGAAATGCATAGTAATTCTTTTTATTAGTTCCACAAATATTTCCTGAGTACCTGTTGTATGCATGGCAATATGCAAGGCACTACATGAGATACAAAGATGATTGTATGGTTGGTGCCTTTAGGGTGCTCACCATTCTTTAATGTGTATATAGACTGAATTACATTATAGAGATTATGTGTCTTTCAAAATGTTTGGACGCATTATGGATGTGTAAAGGTGAGGGTGGTCATAGCTAAAAAGTATGGTTGAGGGAAAGAAAGCTGCTGCTTAGCATAGGTAGAATTTTTATATTTTTATTGATAACAGCGAGGAAGGGAGCAGGAAAGAGAAACATCAATGATGAGGGAGAATCATTGATCGGCTGTCTCCTGCATGCCCCTACTGGGGATCGAGCCTGCAACCTGGGTATGTACCCTTGACTGGAATAGAATCTGAGACCCTTCAGTCTGTAGGCCAATGCTCTATCCACTGCGCCAAACCAAGTAGTGCAGCTTAGGTAGAATTTTAATAGGCAGACATTGCTGGCTGAAAGAGTTCCAGTCTGAAGGAACATGCAGAAGGGACTACATGGAGGCAGTGCATGAGGGAGATAGGATGCGCTTCCATTCAGAGAACCCAGGCTGTGGAGGGGACAATGAGAGAAGTGTAGACAGGCAAAACGGGTCCTTGTGCTCCAGGGAGAGTACTCTGGACTTGGCTTTGAGATCCTGAAGAGCACAAGGTTTGGTGAAGAGGATGGGTAGGCAGCAAGGAAGGAGCAGTCATGGGCATGCACTTTTAAGAGACCCAGACACATAATAGAAAGGAAGTCACTTGATAGTATCGTAGGATGTAAAGAAAGGAGGTAATATGTACAAGAATTGTTCTCTGTCTCTGTCTATATCCCCCCTCTCCCCAACCCCCTGCTTCAAGATAGGAGCAATCTGATTACTTCTGTAGACTCAGATAAAAGCCTGTGCAGGAGGACTTGACTCTGCAAGTAATAGGAGTCAGCATGTGGAACAAGATCTGGTGAAAATACAAGGGATGGGATATCAGAGATGTATCTTAGCTTTGGCAGGGAGATAAGAGGCATTTCTCGGGAGAAAAACAAAGGGCAAAGATTCTAAGATATAAAAGAGGAGATTGTGTGACTATGAAGAGAGGTTCTATTTGTTGGTAGGACTCTGGGTTTCTTTGTAGAAAAGGTTTGAACTACATTATGGAGAATGTGATAGGGTGTAGGTTTCTTTGCTGAGATTAATTAATGTAGTATATTTGTGTGTGTGTGTGTGTGTGTGTGTGTGTGTGTGTGTGTGTTCCCATGTCTGTCCAGTATTGCTCAGAGTGGAGGCAGAAACATTATATAGTTCGGTAGAATCCAGAATTGATAAATCATTGGGTGTTAATGAGAAAAGAATCTATAAGGGCAGAGGGAAGTGCTTAAATGGAGACCTAGGAAAGCCAGCCTCCCTCGAAGAGTTAGGGTTGTTAAAGGATTGTGAATGAAATAATTATAAGCCAACCACTATTAGATGCCTTTTATTCCTCTTCTCCTTTTTGAAAAATCTTATCTATGCTCACTTTCGTGCATTTTATACAGATATCTTTTTAAAAAATATGTTTTTATTAATTTTAGAGAGAGAGATAGAAACATCAATGATGAGAGAGAATCATTGATTGGCTGCCTCCTGCACGCCTCCTACTGAGGATTAAGCTCGCAACCCTGGGCATGTGCCCTAACTGGGAATTATAGCAGTGACCCTTTGGTGAACAGGATGATGCTCAATCCACTAAGTCACACCAGCCAGGCCTACATATATATTTATAAAAATATAAGATCAGCCGAAACCAGTTTGGCTCAGTGGTAGAGCTTCGGTCTGTGGACTGAAAGGTCCCAGGTTTGATTCCGGTCAGGGGCATGTATGTTGGTTGCGAGCACATCCCCAGTAGAGGGTGTGCAAGAGGCAGCTGGTCAGTGTTTCTCTCTCATCAACATTTCTATCTCTCTCTCTCCCTTCCTCTCTGTAAAAAATCAATAAAAAAATACGTTTAAAAAAAAAAAAAAAGATCATACTGTAGTTACTATTTTGTAGTGTTTATTTTAAATCCTATCTAAGCCGAAACCGTTTTGCTCAGTGGATAGAGCGTCGGTCTGCGGACTGAAAGGTCCCAGGTTCGATTCCGGTTAGGGGCATATACGTTGGTTGCGGGCACATCCCTGGTAGGGAGTGTGCAAGAGGCAGCTGGTCGATGTTTCTCTCTCATTGATGTTTCTAGCTCTCTATCTCTCTCCCTTCCTCTCTGTAAAAAAAATCAATAAAATTTATTTTTAAAAAAAGATTTAGAAAAAGTAGAATTAAAAAAAAATCCTATCTAATAAAGAGGGAACATGCTAATTGGCCCTCACATCTCACAAAGATGGAGGGAATATGATAATTGACTGCCATACCCTCAATGATGGTGGTGTCCACAGCCACAAGATGGCAGCACCCAGTCCCCTCAGCCCTGCCGGGGCAGCAGGCATGTGGACAATCTGAATGCTTGCCTCTGGAGTCCCCCAGTCCTCTC